GGGAGGGTGGAGGGACAGCGCAGGAGAGGAAGGCCCTCTATGAGGTGGATTGATTCAGTGACTGGGATAATTGGGATGGGAGTGTCAGAGACTGTGCGATTGGCACAGGACAGAGCGGAGTTTAGGGCTGTTGTACATAGGGTCGCTATGAGTCGCAGGCGACTCGACGGCATATAACAACAACAATTGTAGATGTTCACTGAAATAAAAAAAAAATGAGTGTATGTATTATTTTGTTGTCTCACACATTTATTGTTTTAAAAGTGCTACTGCTGATTCTTTGAAATTTTTATCTCAGCTACCTACCACCAATTGTTCCTACCTGCAAAGCCTGAACTAACTTTCCTAAGATTGTTTTATTCCCCAAAGATTAGTCAGAAATTGCAATTAGATACTGCTTCATTGACCAATTATTTACCACTGAAAAGGGAGCTCTAGTGTCTTAGTGGTAAGGAGTTGTGCTGCCAACCCAAAGGTACACAGTTTGAATCCACCAGCCGCTCTTCTGGAGAAACATGGGCAATCTCCACCTGTGTAATTTACTGCCTCTGAAAACCTGCCTGAGGGTCAGTTATGAATTGGTTCTGACTCCACTGTATACAACAACAACAACTCCTAAATGTATTATTTCCTTGTCCATTCAACTCCCTTGACTACCTGAGCTTGGACTGATTGCCTTTTCTTATAAACTGTGTTCTGTGCTTATGGTCTCACCTGGCCATTTTTCAGTCTCAAATTTGTTTCTTTTCTGGGATGTAAATGCAATGACTGTCAGATAAGATTTTCAGTCAGTTTAACATTTTCATTAAGAGTTAAACTTGGTTGGTTGATAAATGAACGAACCAATTCATGAGGTCTTAATCATTTCTAATGATTAAGGTCAGATGTTTCTATGTTTACAAAGCTAAGAATTAGGTTCTAAAGACAAGGGAGCTAAAGCTGTCCTAACTGAAAAATCTCCCATTGCCATCTGGCCAGAATCAACTCACAGCTGACCCTCCATTGGCTCTATTGTGTAAAGTGTTAACATGCTAATCAGAAGGTTGAATCCACCAGTTACTCCGAGGGAGAAAGACAAATGAGGCTGTAAATTGCATGGATGAGATTTGCTCATCTTTCTCCGTCAGAGCTGTTGGTGAATTCAGTGTCAGGGAATGTAAGCTTTGGGTTCAGTGCAATGCCCTAGGGACTAGGCCACCTGAGCTTCCTCAAGTACATTATAAATAACAGGTATACATTTGCTACAGGTAAAAAAGCTCTCTTTATATTAGTGGAGCTTATACAACCAAGAACTGGCACCTATAAGCCACAGCATTAACTTTACTAGCAAACAAGGGCTCAGAGTTCCTGCTAAGTATCTGACTATGATGTTTAACACATATTTTGGAAAATGTTTTCTATGGTTGAAATCCATCAACATATTGATGCCTGTAAATTTTATTTAAAAGAAATCAACCTGGAGTTCACCACACCACTCGCTGAGAAATTGATTCTGACTCATGGCAACCTGCTTGTGGGTTTCTAAAACTTTAGAGGAGACTGTCTTTCTCCCTCGGAGTAGCTGGTGGAGTCAACCTTCTGATTAGCAGGTTAACACTTTACACTATAGGCCACCAGGACTCCTTTGTCTGTGTTTAGGAGATTGTAAATGTTCATAGAGGGAAAAGGGGATAGATTAAGTTTAAAATATACTAATTCTGGTAACCAGGCAAGGAAGACAAACTTGAAAGTTAATTGTGTTTACTTCACTCTAAACAAGCATTGGTTGACAGTATAAACTGCCTTTAAGAGATAAAACAACTATGTGGGTATTAAATGGCTTATGAAACAATTAAGTGAGCTCTAGCAGCCCAGGCCATGGAGCTGTACTGCTAACTGAAAAGCCACGCCTCTCTGGAAGTTCAAATCCACCAGCTGGTCTTAGGGAAAAAGACAGGCAATCTTCTGTGTGATTTACAGCCTCTGAAAACCTGCTGAGAGTCAGTTCTGACTCTACAGCAATGAGATGACTTTTTTGACTTTGACAACAGTTAAGGCTTTGCAAGGCTCAGTGGTCCCTTAGGAGCTATGACTTACCTGGACAGACTGGCAGTGGTATAGGAATCGGGCTCCAGACACATGAGCTTGTGGGTTGGACTGGAGGCCTACATATGCCCACAATATCTGGATCTCCAAAGAAACTGGTATGAAGCAGCAGGACGTACAATTCATAGCCTGTAAAAGGGTAAAGAAACACCCACGTGAATTGTCTGATGATTGCCTTACTCAGCATGCATCAAGTAATCACTGTTTCCTAGCATCATACAATAACGGAAAAGGCAGCTAATATGCTTAACGATGAAACAGAAATTGACAGAGGACCTAGTGGGTAAGGATCTGTGCGGCCAACACAAAGGTACACAGTTTGACTCCACTAGCTACTCCTCCAGAGGAAGACGGGAAATCTCCTTGTACAAACTTGAAAGTTCCACATGAATGACAAAAAATTTTTTAAAAACCAAATTTTTTTTAAAAGCTTGTAGCTATACATTCTTATTGGTATTGATTGTAAAAATTAGTACCTAAAATAGAAATCACCAGTACACAGAGTAATAAAATGTGAGCATATGTGAAATTATATGTAAGACCATGGAACACTGAAGTGGCAACTGCAGGTTGGGGAAAAAAAGCAATGGCAAGCGGTGATTTGGGGAGCATGTGTCAGATAGGCAACATATGACTAGAAGAGCCTGAAAGAGAAACTCCGGTAGAAGAATGGTATGTAAAACGGTGTGGCAAAGCACATGATGCCAGAGGGAGAGTCACCCACCAATATAAATAATAGTGAGTGCCTACTATGTTTCTTATTATCTAGAAAAACAAACATAACAAACATAATGTAAAATTGTCAGTTAAAAGAAATAAAAATGACAACATAGCTGAATGAAGCCAGGAGGTAAGGGACAAAGTAGGAAATATAAGAGCTAATTTCTTACTTTTTTTTTTGGAGGTAGTCAAGAGATATGGTTGATGTGGGCCAATTACAAACAAAAAGTCAAACAGTTTATTTCTGGGGCTGGATACACGTGAAATTTTCACTTTTCATTTGGTGTCATCCTATACAATTTAACTTTTAAATCTGTAAATGTATTATTTTTATAATAGAAAGAGCATGATTTCAACCCCACACAAAAAAGGTATATGCTGACCAGATATTCAAGAGTTTAAGGGGTGATTTTGAATAAGATAAACTGCGTGGCAATCCTAAAGGCATGTTGTTCAAATCCACCAGCTGCTCCATGGAAGATGGACAATCTCCCATGTGATTAACTACCTCTGAAAACCCACTGGAGGGTCAGTTATGGGTCAGTTCCGACTCGAGAGTACACAACAACAAAAGCTGAAATAATGACTTCAAACAGGTATGATTTTTAAAAAAAATATATAAAACTATTGTACTATTGGTGAAAGAAGAGCTATTCTTAATGTCTCCATCCAGAACAACAAAGGGGTAAAATGCGTCTTGGTTAGAAGGTGTCCTTTTTTCCTTACCAAAACCTTGCATTCTTTGTTGAGGATCCTGGTCCACTGTCCTTTCTGGGATGGGTCCGCATTACCAAAAATGGCGACATACTCTGGCCTGGGCCTTCCATGGAGGGTCTGATAAATCTCTTGATGCAGGTGGTCACAGTTTTCCTTCTTCAGCCTATAATTGAGCATCATGGAGTCTAGAGTTCAACACTGATACCAAGGAAGTATCAATTATGATATCAACTATTGTATCAACTATTACATGGTCCAATAACTGGCATTTCAGAAAGTTCATTTAGCATCATTACTATAGTACTGTTAACTGCACTTGTACATGAATCCAATTACCAGAAACTGATTTAGAAAACACACTGGTGAAAACAATCCTAAACATGTATAAAAGGACTGTGTTTAGAAAGCTCTTAGCAATGTTTAAGTTATGTTAAAGAATAAATGACTAGCATTCTCTGAATTGCATTTAAAATTAACTCTCGATTAATATTCTCTGAACTACCACTTAAAATGTATTTTCTACACATTGTAGGGAATGATGCAGAACACATTATTTATTACCTGAGCTTGCATCCAGATACTGCATTCATCCCAAACTCTATTTTATGTCTCTTAGGAGAGCAGCTCCCATCACTCTGACTCTGCAAAAGGGTCATCTGTGACGAAAAGTCAAGGAGACCATGTTGTTATGTGCTGTCGAGTCGCCTGTGACTCATATGATTCCATGTACAACAGCCCTAAACCCTGCTCTATCCTGTGCCAATCTCACTATCTCTGACACACATACCTGCATTACCCCAGTCACTGAATCAATCTACTTCCTAGAGGGTCTTCCGTAGATTTCCCAGCATAGTGATAGCAGGGCCACAGCTGAGGTCAGAGTCCAGACAAGGACTGAGCACCCTCTGCAAACAGAGAATTCCGCCCAGCCCCCTGGAGGAGATACTGGATGCCCTCTGCAAACAGAGATTTTCACCCAGCCTCCCGCCTGAGGGGACACCAAGTCTGAGCTTTGGTCTTAGTTTAAAGATTAAGCTTACCCAGTGTTTGGTTGGCAACACTAAAGTATAAGGATAAATACAGTCTCCAGAGAGTGAATCTTTTTGAGGATGATTGGCCTAAACAAAATAAAAACCAGAAGGAAACTAAGAAAGGGGCCTTTTCACAGTACCATGCTGTGAGAGGACCTCTGCCTTAGCCTTCCCTCCTTTTCTGAACTCATTTCTCCGTGTCCCTGCTTTCTTTCTGCATTCTGATGTTTGCAACATCTGGTACTCTGAACCCAGGGATCTGAAAGAAGCAGCAGTCTGTCTCTCTCTGTCTCTGTCTCTCTGGCACGGGGAAACCGAAAGGTAAGTGAAGTCTTTTGGGAACATTTTCTTCAGGCAGAGTCCTGAGGATTCCTCACCCTTGGATTAAGGGCAAATATTAGAAAACATTTCATGAGGGCTTCCTCACCCTTGGTTTAAGGGCAAGTATTAGAAAAAGTATCATGAGGATTGATTTCCTCACCCCTTTGTAAGGGAAGAATTAGAAAAAATTTCCCCAACCTCTAAAGTAAATTGCTTAAAAATCTAAGAGGAAGAAGTGAAACAAAGAGCCATGGGGACTGCACCATCCTCTAAAGCTCAATATATTTCTCTCTTAAAGGAGCTGCTTAAGAGCTCCCAGGTAAAAGTGAAAGAAAAATCTTTTCAGCAGTTGTTTAAACGTATTGAAAAACATTGTTGCTGGTTTCAGCCAGTTGGTAGATCTCAAATGGATTTTAAAAACTTGGTATAATGTTATATTTACAAAGAGCACATCAAAAACCCCAAATTCCTATTGTTTTTTTGGCCAGTATTGGCTTTGATAAGCATAGTAATGATGTCCACACAGGATTGGATATATAATAAAAAAAATTTTGCCAAAAGAGATGGTTGAATCTTTGCATGAATATGAATTAAGTGATATTACATTAGAGAAGGTTAAAGCTGAAGGCAAGAAACAGCCTTTGTCACCTTTAGAAAGAGCCTTAGGAAGACTCAATCCTGAATTATTGTTTTCTCTTAATTGGCATGCATTGACTCAGTGCTCTTCCTGGGAAATTATTTATAATTTAAAATATGGTTTAGAAAAAGAAAAAAGGGATAAAAAAGGTGTTAAGTATCAAAGCAGAAGCCTATAAGTATTTTGTTGATTGTTTTGTGTTTTGTTTAAGTTTGTTGTTTCTTTGTTTGGTTTTTGTCTTAAGTTTAATGTGATAATAGTTTTGAGCTTACATAATCTGATAATTTCGGTAAAATAAGAAAAGTAAAAATTATAAGAGTGAAACTGACATAAAAGAAAACTCTTAATTTAGAAGATAAAAAAGGCCACAAAAATAATAAAGATAAATAAATTAATTAGAAGCTGCATAGAGAATGTGATCTAAAAGTTTAGAAACAGGTAAGAAAGAAAATGTAATTTGGTTCCCAGGGTAAATGTAAAGAACAAAAATTATAAAAAGATGTGTCATAAAAGTCAAATACTCTTGATTAACTACTTGTAAAATCCAAAAAGTTGGACTTTCTAAAGTGCTAAGAAACAAAGCAGTTTTTTTCCTAAGCGTAAGTGTCATGTTCATTATAATAGAGAGACGCCTCTGAGAACAGGCGCAGGGCAGAGCAGTGGCCCCTAATAAGAAAGAAACTAAAGGCTTTAAAACAAAGAGAGTTATCGTCAGTAGCCAGTGAGCAGAGGCTGTCCCATGGAAATAAGATCCCTAAAGATACTGTAAGATTGATTATAGTAAAAACTAATAAATAAAGGAATATTTGTACATATTGGAGTGATAGATCCCGATTATAATGGGGAAATAATTATAATGATGTCTACTTGACAACATCCAACCTTGTTAAAAGGCCAGAGAATAGCTCAATTATTGTTCCTGTCTTATATAAAACAAAGGGCAGCTCCAATAAAAAGACAAGGAGAATTTGGCACTACTGGGACTAATACCTATTGGAATACTATCATTTATGATACCCGTCCTCAAATGACTGTAAAATTAGAAGGATATGAAATTCAAGGATTAGTTGATACTGGCGCTGATGTATCTATTATTGCTACCCATCATTGGCCTAGTAAATTACAATCAAAGGATGTCTCTGTTACTTTTACAGGATTAGGAACTATGACAGGAGTAAAACAAAATGAATATATGTTAGAATGTAAAGGACCTGAAGGACAGATAGAAAAATTACATTGCAAATATGGCAGTTACATTATAGGGAAGAGATTTGCTAGCTCAATAGGGAGCCACTTTGCAAATTCCTACAATATCAGAGCAGGCTAAGAATATGATGTTAAACATGAACTATCTTCCTGGTAAGGGATCAGGAAAAAAATAACAAGGGATGGTCAGCTCCAAAGAACCAAAAGTTAATTATAGAAGGAGAGGATTAGGCTATCCAAACTTATAATGAAGACTACTGTTCTACACTTTGCCTTTCCATTAACTTGGTTAACTGATAAGCCGATATGGGTTTAATAGGGCCCTTAACAAAGGAAAAAAAAAACCCTATAAATTATAGAACAAAGAATTAATGAGGCCCAATTAAGTTATACAGACATGAAAATATCTGTTATATTAATAATTACCCATTTCTACATTCTCCTACTGGTATTTTATAATATTAAGAAGAAAACAAATATATGGTGAGCTCTGGTGGCCTAGTGGCAAGAAGTTGCACTACAATCCCAGAGGTGCATGGTTCAAATCCACCAGATGCTCTGCTGGAGAAGGATGAACAATCTCCTCCTGTACCAGTCAGATCTGATTTGATGGTACACACACAAAATGATAAAATTA